GTGTCTATGGCCGCTCTGCAGACCTGTGGCAACTGCTGTGTTTCGGCAGAGAGATGATGCATTTCAGTGTAACACACCCTTTGTCAAGTCTAAATGCTATAAGGAAGTAGCACTAAAAGTCTGAATACAAGACAAAAATAATATCAAGTGAAAGTAGGTGTGCTATCCTATTAAATAGATCATAAAGTAAAGCACTATATAAACCATTAGTGAAGGTTTTAAAACATATGACTTGCAAACTAAATAACAGAAAAATGTTCAGTGAAACAAATAGATTACGTTAATATGACATAAATGCACTCCAATGCAGTGACCACTTCAGTGTTCCTACACCAAGTGCACAGGCTGCTTTTTAAGTGGGAATGACCTCTAGGTTTTAGGTGGTCTTAAGTGTTTGTAGTTGTAAATATGACAGCTCTCTGTACAGCATCTGCACCATTCCACAGGAAAGCTTACAATGATCCATAAATCCAGCCTCAGTTAAACAAGCATAGGGAAAGGAACAAACATGCCATATTGTGTAATACTGCTTGATAAAAATCAGATTTAAGAAAAGGTATCTATAATACCAGTATAGGAGACAAGCATGTAAAGCACAGTGCGCTCGAGCCGACAGGCGTGATGACACAGCTAACATGTTTCATCATCAGGTTACCCATTTGTTCCCTTCACTATGCCTGTTTAACTTAAATGGAAGTTTACTCAGAAAAGTCCTGAGATCACTTCAGGCTTGGCCCTTTTGCAGGTATAACTTTGTAAAACATTAAAAATAAGTTCCTATACCGTTTAAAATCCAGTAATACACGGTCTCACCCTGCTCTACACATGCTCAGTTGCTTCTTTTTGGCACTAGAGGCTGATCTGCTGAAAGCTCAAAGACTTACTGCTACACAGGGACTCTGGGCTTCAGCAAAATGGCAGCCCCCAGAAAGAAAAAAAACAGGAGATGGAGGCATCACACTAATCTTGGGAGTATACAGTCGGTATAGAAAAGAATCACCCCTTTTAAAATAATCACATTTTGTTGCTTTGCAGCCTGAAATGAAGACAAACGGTTTTTGTTTCATCCAGCTGTACTTGTATGTTCAACTTATAAGACCCAAGTGAAAGATATAACACCGCGGAAAAAAACAAAAACACAAAATCAGAGTTAGAAAAAGGATCACCCCCCTTGTGTCAGTATTTGTTGAACCACCTTTTGCTTTAAATTCCATCCTTTAGTCTGTTGGGATAGGCCTCTACTGACTTTGCACAGCTAAACTTTGCATTATTTACCCACTCTTCTTTGCAGAACTGATCAAGTTCAGTTCAATTTGATGGTGACCGTTTGTGGACTGCAGTCTTCCAAAGATTTCCAATGGGGTTTAAGTCTGAGCACTTACTAGGCCATGTAAGGACATTCATCTTTTTCTCCTTATCACTATGTGATCATTTTTGCTGTGTGCTTTGAGTCATTGTCATGCTGGAAGTTCAACCTTTTTCCCCCATTGACAACTTTCTGGCAGAGGGCAGCAGATTTTCCTCATAAATTTGACAGTATTTTGCCCAATCCATTTTTTTCTTTCATCCTGACAACTGCTACAGTCCCTGCTGCAGAGTATCACACCGATGCCAGATTATCACATCCATGCCTTACTGTAATAATAGTGTTTTTGGGATGTTGAGCTCTTATTGGCCCTTATTTTGGCCAGACATATTTAGAGTTGAGGCCAAATAATTCAATTTTAGTCTCATGTGGCCTCAGAATCAAGATGCATTTTGGCAAAGCTCAGCCGTGACTGCATGTGGCCTTTCTTGAGTGGCTTTTTTCTTGCAAGCCACCCATACAAGCCACATTTGTTGGAGAATTTTAAATATTGTCACATGCACAGTGTCAAGTTCCTGCAACTGCTTCAGAGTTGCTATAGGCCTCTTGCTAGCCTCTCTGACCAGTTTCCTCCTGGCTTTCATCCAGTTTGAAGCAATGTCCTCATCCAGGAAGGGTCTATGTTGTACCAAATACCTTCCACGTAATAGACTTCACTGTGCTCTTGACATTGATAAAGCCTTTGAATTTTTTTGCATCAATCTCCTGACTTGTGCCTGTCCACAACTTTATTCCAGAGATCTTTAACAGTGCTTTGCCACCCATGGTTGATTGTTTGCTTCAGTTGTACTACCAGGGACTGAAATGCACCAGGAAAGCCCTTTTCATGCTGAGCTAATCAAAATGACCACAGCTGATCACAGTTGAAAGTCAAATGGCTCTGTGTGCCATTAAGAAGGCGGTTAGTTATTTTTAGGAGGGGGTGATCCTTTTTCAAACTTCGTGATTCTGTTTTTGCATCAAAAAAAAAAAATTCTAACATGTTGGTTAAAACAGCTGGATAAAACAAAATCTGTCTTCATATCAGGCAGCAAAGCAACAAAATGTTATCTGAAGGGGGGTGATTTTTTTTCTATACCCACTGCAATTAAGGAATGTATGTTCCTCGTTCAAGAAAATTATTTGTTATCAAGTTGTTTAAACAAGCATAGCGCAGGTAGCAAATAGGTAACTCCATGTCCCCTCGTGATGACACATGTTAGCTGTGACGTCATCATGCCTGTCGGCTTGAGTGCAGTGGTGCTTATGTTTGCCTCCTTTACTGATATTATAGGTACCTTTTCATAAATAAAATCTGATTTTTATCAACAGGTATTACACAATATGGCATGTTTGTTCCTTTCCGTATGCTTGTTTAACTGAGGCTGGATTTATAGATCATTCCTATGGAATGGTGCAGATGCGGTAAGGTGGGGGAGCTGTGATTTTCACAACTACAAACAATCACAACCTCCCAAAGCTTAGAGGTCATTCCAATTCGGTAAGAAGCCTGTGCACTTGGTGAAGGATTGAAGCGCATTTTTTTACACATCACTTTATTATACAGGATGTATACAGTGCCAACAGTTTGTGCAGCACTTTACAACATGAAGGCAGACAGTACCATTGCAATACAATTCAATACAAGAAGAATCAGAGGGCCATGCTCGTTAGAGCTTACAATCTCAAAGAAGGGGCCATGTGATATAAAAATGTAATAGCTGTGGAGGATGAGCTGATGGAGAAAATAAAAGTTTTTTTTTAGCGATCACCTAAAAGTGAACAGATTAGGAGATGGCCAGACAGATTGGGGTAGGAGTTCCAAAGGAACATTAAGTGAAATGAACAATAGGACTTTTGTGATGTCATCAAGCATATTTATTTGGTGTGCAAGTCAAATGTTTTAGATAATTCAACATTGTTTATATGTAATGCTTCACTTTATAGATTTGAAGGGACGATGCACCTATTTTCCTTCCGAGTAGAATGCAAAGTACAAGACGGACCATGCTGGGATGGATGTGCTTCCATGCCCTGGTGTGGTCAGTTTGAGAGAGGAAAGCAGAACTGGCAGGATCACAAGGTATTTCACACAAGGGAAGCAATGCAAGGAGAACAGGATTATTTTTTAACACAATGACAATGCCTCACAATGTTAAACCTAACAGATCATGGAATTCTACAGAGACTATATAAATGGCAACATTTAAGGTGGCTGCTTAGCCCTGTAAGGTGTCCAGTTACAAAGTTCAGACTAAGTTTGTGAAGTGTAATGGGTTATTGTAGCTGCAATGCATACAAGAACACATGAACCTGGGGTCAGTTAACATTATGCCTGCTCAATCAGGAACAGCAGCTTCTGCTAGCAATTGAAACAATGATAAATACCAAGTGATGAGAAGAGGGTATTAGGGTTAATATTTTCAATGCTGTAGAGACTATGAAATGTAGAAGACGAAGTGAGTAGGTACACAACGGTGGTTGAGGTATACCCGATGAATCCAACAGTGCTATAATACTTCCAGAATTGCATCATATATTGGTGCATTCTTTCCAGACAGACTCATCAGACAACAGCATGCAATGGTATTTTAAACACAGTAAATGCACCACGGACACAGTTAACTGGCACGCTGGAAGCCAAAATACATGCAAGAAAACAGAAGTCTAAATCCTTTTAATCTAAATGCAAAATTGCATAGAAAATCGAAGGCATACGATATTATTAGAAGAGCTTTCCTCCAGGCAGTCAATATGTGCTTCAATCCACTACAGGTATCTTCCAATATATTTGGCCTTCAACTATTCAGTGTCAAGACTACCATAATAGCAGAAGGACTTTATGAATTTGCAAATATTATTTTCATTGATCAACCTCAAGCCACAAGAGCATAGCACAACCTTAATTTCCAAAAAAGAAAGCAAACATCTGCCATCCTTCTGTTAGACCCAGCGGGATCGTCCTATAGTAAGCTTGAACACGAGTCAATTGTGTAGACTGTTAACTATAGATAGACAATTCAGTCTTGTATCTGTTGATGATCAGGTGTTTACATAAACCCAGTGGACATTTACAATTCAGTTGCAAACTGAGGGTTCTAAGGGTGCTTGCTATCTGGTATTCAAATCAAAAAAAAATAAATAAAAATAAACTAACTTTAAATTACTTGTAAGTAGATGCACAAGTTGTATCATTATCCTAAGAACACTTCTGGAAATACAAGGTCAGCATGCTAGAGATAAAAACGTAAGCCACCACATATTTTCAAAAAAGGCAGCTCTTCAAAACAACGTGGCAAGAGTTTACATTACAGCAGTCATGCAGTCTACTGCACAACCAAGTCACACAGACCTCATGTCTTGTAAAAACTTGAAATTTAAAACTACAGGAAAGTGTGAAGTTAAAATGGCATTTGTGGGACATTAAAAATCCAGACTTTAATTTTCTTTTTCTTCAAAATCAACAATAGCTTTAAACAGGAAAGGACATTCTGTGCCAACTATAGTTATGCATATTAGAATAGATGGGTAAAAGTAGAGTCCATTTTATACTGGTAAAGTGTGTTTAGTTTAGATGGCTCTAAGGTGACTGATAGGTTAAATGTAACCATGAAAACGCTGAAAATTTACAAGGATGAGACATTGTTTTACTTACTCTGATTTGGTTCTTGAGTTGCTCAGCCTCCTGGCGTAGCTGATCGAGTTCACTCATTTTTCTTCACTAAATTGAAGCTTCTCTACCACCAACACTCAATTCTGTAAAAAGAAAAAGAAAAAAAAAAAAACAAGTCAAACTTGGAACTGGAGTTTACAAACTTCACACAAAGGCAGCAGATAATACACTTTACATTAACCATACAAGGCCAAGGCATTGGTTAGCCAATGTATTAGGTCTTTAGCAGAAATTTTAGGTAATGGTTGACCCCACTTCAAACAAACCTCAGTGACTTAAGGATGGAACAGATCTACAAGACCGCAAGATCCAAGTTTTACAAACACTATAAACATTTTATATTAAGTAAACACCAAACAATGTTGCAGAATAAAAGCAAAAAAAAAAAAACAAAAAAAACAGTATCAGGCTCTATGAAAATTACCCACAAAACTACAAAAATTGTCAGACTTAAGTAACCACCACAGAAAGAAAATTGTTCTCGGGAGACAGCAAGTTATAGACGGAATATTCTTAAAGTTGTCCATCTACAGAGGATGTAAATGCAAGATTAAAGGGGAAGAAAATGTGTAAGATTTACTTAGAAGTCTTATTACCTCACCAATAAGATGTATAAAACCACAGGACTATACTTCAGATTCTCCTTAAAATTCAGCACTGATGGTAGTCTTGGCAAGTTCTGGTAGAAGGCGGAAATGTGTGTTCTTCAGTTACATTCCTTTCACCTGTCCTCCATACAATGTCATCTTTAAGCCCGAATAGAGCTCAGTTACTCAAATCCGGTTAACACAAAACCGGCTGAGAGTCTTAAACTGTCCGCTATCCTTCTGACCCTAATCCATTGGTTGCTTTTGTTTAACTGCACTGTCCTTGGTGAAGCGCAACAAGTTTTCCCGAGCAAAGCATCCTTGACCTGGTAGTTTTCAACTTTAGCATATTCATAAAATTAGATGTGGATGAAGGGATTTTCAGCATTTTTAGCATAGGTAAAAGGGATGTCTGAAGGTGAGTACACACCAATTCAGTGCTATATACTTATAAGCAGTACCGTTTACCTAAGATATCCAATGGCTTACAAATCTTAAATGCTTCTAGATTTGCAAGAACGCTAAAACATTTCCAGAGACAAAAGGAAATGTAGCTTGTCAAAATGGGAAATGTGTGAGAAATTGCCAGATGGCTGTATTTGATCTCAGGCTAATACACTTAGGAGCTTGTTAAAACCAGCCAGATACTTGTCCGAACAGGGTAAACAATAAATAAATCTCCTCTTCTGTGTAGGTCTGAATTATTTAAGCCTAGCCCCTTTGCTTGAGTTTACTTCAACTTACTATCCATCTTTAAAAAAAAAAAAAAAAAAAAAAAACTATTTAGGGCAAATCAGAACAAAGCCTATACACAAATGCAGTTTTGTGCAGATGGGTCTTACCAAAAAATATACATCTCCAGACCCTTGGGTTGGGTCAGCTTCAATACTAAAACAAGTACTGAATTTACTGCGAATGCTAGTCTTTTTAAGGCCATTTGCAGATCAATAACATGCTCACCTCTGTGCTTCTTTCCCACCGCTGTTCAGTTACCTTCAGTCATGTCAGATGCAGACCCAATTAGTAAAATGCACCTGAGAGCAAATCCCCTTAATCTTGTTGACGAAAATATTCCTCTGTTAATGCTTCGTTTGGCAGAGCAGCAGTTTACTTAAAGCGGCATTTACAAGCTGTTAACGTATGTACATTTAACAAAGTATTTTTGCTCTAGCAATATTGTTTACATAAAAAAAAAATAGGAACACTGGACAGAAATATACACAAGTCTCAGAGTAGGCAAAAAAAAAAAAAAAAAAAACCACACACCTGCACTTTAAAAGTTGGGACGGCTAAATAAAGAGAGAAAAAAAGTAATACATCTTTGAATTTGCGTTGCAACAGAAGGGTCACTGCAGCTAGATGTATTTCTAGCCAAGAACAGTAATGATTAGGGGGATTGAGGGGACACACAAAAGACAACCAACATGTTCAATAAACCTTACAGGCAGCTCTAGGATGACAGACATTTGAGCTAAAGCTCAACTCCAGCCAAACATTTTCAGTTTTAAATGGAGAAGCTATTAGGAATCTGTGCTGGCTCGTCTGAATTTCAAGCAGTAGTATAGGCCTGATGGCACCAATCCGTTTGAAAATTCAAACAAGCCTGTAGGAAAATGGTCAGTTGAACAGAGGTGGAGGTGGGTCTGTGTCTGCACTGTTAGGAGTCCAATTATGACAGAACAAAGCCGCGATCATGATGATCGCAGCTGATCTCTCATGTATACAAGTTTATGTAGCTGAGATGAGAAGCTGGGAACATGTTCTTCACTTCTCATCAAATCATAAACTGGCTGTCTAACAGAACAGTTGTATGCCGTGAAGATCTCACTAGCTGTCCGTGTGAAATATTTCCATCCTAGCTTCTAAAGCCCAGAGGTGGAGAATCTGGGAGAGAAGCTGGTGCGATGTGGATAAAAAAAAATTTTTTTTATATATATTTATTCACACACACACACACACACACACACACACACATTTACTACACATGTATAGGTTAGACAAAGAAATACAGACACTACAGGATTTTTTTGCAGGTGTGAAAGCGACATGTTTCACTTTGAAAGCTGAAATGATGTGATGAGACGCCTAGCTATCAGGTGGGAAGCCTCACTTTTGTCATTCACTGTCTGCGCTGCTAGTAATACGGAGTCATCTCAGAGCTACTGAGCTTCAAAGAGGGCACATTGTTGGTGCCCGCTTAGCTGGTGCCTCTGTGATTGACGTTGCCAATTTGTGGTGTCACGATGTACAGTATCAAAGTGACTGCAGAACTCAATCTCAGTCCTTACAGGACTGAGATTGAACTTTTCAGTCACTTTTGCAGCAGCTGTTTTCCCATATAGAGTCACAATCCTGCGCAATGTGCTTTTGTCTGTTAGTTCCCCATGTTGACCGCACTTATGCTTAGCTGACAATGTTTTCCCAGAAAAACTGTTTATGCCATCATAATATTTGATACTGTACCTCGCAACTCTGCAAATAAATTGCCAACCTCAGTCACAGAGGCACTAGTAAAGCGGGCACCAACAATTTACCCTGTTTGAAGCTCAGTAAGCTCTGACATGACTCCGTATTACTAGCAGTGCACGCACAACAAAAAAACAAAACGCTCCATGCCCGAAAAGGTTCAATTTGGCATTTTGTTACTTGAATGGGCATTTTGTTGCAGCATTTTATAACATGCATTTTAGTGCTTTTTTTTTTTTAATACATATTATAACACATCAACGTGCATTTTGGTGCTATTAAAAGAGCATTTTGGCTTTTTTTTTTTCTTTAAACACCGCATAAATCTACAGAAGTGCATGCTTTGTGCGCATTCCAGAAATGCATGCATAACGCTTTTAACATCTGCGGTGCAATTACTGTGGCTAGCAGATGCGGGCTGTGCCAAAATGCACGTTAAAAGAAGCACCAAAATGCATGTTAACAACTACATCAAAACGTGCATAAAAAACCTACGCCAAAATGTGCATTCTAAGAGCACCAAATGCAGGTTTAAAAAACCCACCAAAATACATATTGCAAAAAATCTGTGGCAAGATTAATCCGAAATAAGCCAAATCGTACATTTTAAAAAGCACTAAAATGCATGCAAAAAAGTGCCAACATAAGTGTGTAAAAAAAGGCCAGAATAGGCATAAAAACAAACCAGCACCAAAATGCATGTTTAAAATGAGTCAGCTCTCATTGCCTATGTTCATATAATTATATATTCTTTTTAAAGGAGAAGTTCACCTTTGGGAACATGTTACATGTTCCCGCTCCTACAGCTATCCCCTGATCTCTCCCTACCCTGTGACAGCGATCCAGGGATCTTCTCCCCGTCCCTGCGGTCACATATTGAAAACAGCACAGCCTTGCGGGTCTCCACCCACGCGGCCGTATCATTCATTTATTCACAGAGTGAATGAACAGACCTACAAATACCAAACAACAGCCTTTGTTGCCGACGGCTTGTAGTTCTCAATGAATTGCAAGGGCGCTGGTGAGCATCCTTTTGGGTCATGGTTTCTTGTTGGACTGAAGTGACTGCCTGTCTGTAGAAGTGGCACAGGCAGTCAGCAGGAGCCCGACGTCGCATCCACGATCTGCTAATTGCAGGTGCAATGCTTTACAGGCTCCTAAGAAAAATAGTGCCTGCAAAAAAAAAAAAAAAAGTGCTTTTTTTTTTTTTTTAAAAGGTGAACTTATCTAACGTTTGTTTCACTTTTTGAACAAGGCTGCACTGTAATCTCGCACAATCCCACAGGCACCCTTCTCAGATCTCAGCGATTCTCAGAGGAAAATCATCCCCTCTTCTGAGAACAGAAGTTCCCTGCTTCATAAACAGGTTGTCAGGGGAGATGCCATTTCTCTGAAATGTTGAGAACTGATTTGAGGGAAATTACATCAATTTAATAAACGTATAACCTAGTACGGATGAAGGAATCGGTTAAGATTTTTCATTCACCACAGCTGGCCGAATGAAAGAAACCAATACATAAATTGCCAGGCTTAGGATTTTTATTGCCATTTGTGTTCCACTGTGATAACTTCTGCTCCGTACAATGGGTGTCAGAACAGAAGTGAGGGGAAACATTCATTTTCAGTGGAGCAGAAAATGTTGTCACCACTCCAGTCAGGTTTACACTGTAATATCCTGAGATTTCCATCACTTCCTGGATGTGATGCACCTGGTTGGCCAAAAATAAGGTTATTGGCATTTTGCCAGAAAAGGGAGGGAAAAAAAAAAAAAAAAAAAAAAAAAAAAAGAAGAAGAAGTGCTGATATTGATAGTTTACTTCAATGCAAAAATCGCCCTACCCATTACCTTCAATGCAACACATGCCTCCATTTAAGTTTTTTTATTTTATATATTTAATTTTATTTTCTGCCCAATTTTTGAGTTACTGCCAATAAATATTATATGTTACTAGATTGTAGATTTAAAAGTCAGTCATATACAGTAAC